TAGTTAGGGTTAGTCAGTTAGGGTTGGTCAGTTAGGTTTAGTTAGGGTTAGTCAGTTAGGGTTGGTCAGTTAGGTTTAGTTAGGGTTAGTCAGTTAGGGTTAGTCAGTTAGGGTTGGTCTCAGCTGGAAGACTTTTTGTTTGAGGAAAGGTTTGATTCATTTACTTTAGTTTAAACTGATTAACTGATGAAATTATTGCGTCTGTTTCCATTTTAATCTCAGATTTTTCGTCTCGTGGAGTTAAAAGAAGTGATGGAGGAACTGGAATTTTCCACCAAAGTTTAATTTTGTTGGATAAATGATTGATGAAGTTGTTAGGAGACGTGTTCAGACACTTCAGAGCTTTCTGTATTGTACGGTTGTACGTGGGGCAGGTAATATTTAACAAAGTTCCAGGGGTCAGCTCTGTGTTTATCCTTCAGTGAGGAGGACTGGATGAATGCACACAACACACACACACACACACACACACACACACAACACACAACACACACACCTTTCATACTTCCTGTCCTTCCAGGTTTCAGTGGTGTGTGTGAGGTCTAGAACCTGCTTCTTTAACATGTTCTTGTCCTTTCAGAACTCTATCAGACACAACCTGTCACTCAACAAGTGTTTCATCAAGGTGCCACGGCAGAAGGATGAGCCGGGGAAGGGGGGCTTCTGGAAGATCGACCCACAGTATGCTGAACGCCTCCTCAGTGGCACCTACAAGAAGAAACGGGTGCCTCCGGTCCAGATCAACCCGGCCCTGCAGAACCACCTAAGTGGCTGCTGGCAAACACAGTCTACTTCTTCTGGAGGGGGGCCAGTTGGACTGTGTCCCACCCTGGAGTCCCAGCAGCTCCTACCAGAGTTGGAGCAAATGACTGGAGATGATCAGAAATGGGACCCCCATCTGGCTGAGGGGACCATGCTGGGATCCTGGCCAGTGGTCAGGGGACGAGGTGGACCCAGGAGGAAACAGTTTTTGGGTTCCAGAAATGGCAGCATGAAAGCTGTGCGGCGCTGCAGCTCCCCTCTGCTGTGTGTGGACGAGCAGAAGGAGGATGGACCTCTGAAGGGACACTTTGACTGGGACACTCTGCTGGACTCGGCCCTCAGTGGGGACCTCAGTCTGGATGGAGGGGAACCTCTGAGCCCCATCATGAAGGAAGCTGAGGTGACGGTGAGGGGGACCCACATCTCAGCGTCTGAAGCCCCCGCAGGGACTGAGGACCAAAGAAACAGCAACCTTCCTGACATGGATGAAGAGACCTTCCTGGCCACAGCTTTCCTGGAGACACCTTGGCCCGAAGAGGAGGGGGAGGGGCACGGCCACGCTGACTTCATCTGCTCCTCTGCCGTCAACCTGGACCAGTTATTTGACCTCGGAGACTCGTTAAACGTGGACACCAGCAGCCAGGTTGAGCCCCTCCTTTAAGGAATAATTTAGGATCGTCCTTTCAAAGTAAAGTGAACACAACAGGGAAATAACTGACATTTTTCTTTTTGTACCCAAATACAATCTTTAGGACTGTTTCAATATGTTTGAAGTGTTTGAAAACATTTTGATCAAATTATTTTTCCAACGTCTCCACAAAGTTGCCACAAGCAGAAACAGATGCTTTTATTGTGAAGAGACCTGTTTGTCTTTCAGCTGTTTGCTTCTTTGCCAGCTTGTAAACTCAGACGACACTTTTAGTGAATTGTTTTACGCTGGACGTCCTTCCTGATGTTACCTGGGCTCAAAGCTTGTTGTAGAGAAGCTGAAGCCTCTAAAAGAGCAGGTTTCATTAGAAGAACATGTCAAACAAACACAATTTATAACTTTTAGTATTTAAAGGCTTTGGAATAAATAGTCTCATATTTCACTCCTTGTGAGTTTTTTGTACTTAATGAATTTTATTTTAGGGTTAAGTTAAAAATTTGATTATCAAGAGTTTATTGAAAAAACATCTTTTCTAAAACAACCTTTTTCTCACTCAGGTAAACAAATATTTGCTTTTAAAACCAGCTAACTTGTAGCTAAAGTTTTATTTTGAAACATTGTTCTATTTTTTAACAATCAGAACAATGAGAAAAAGTACTGTGAGTTCCTGCAGTTCGATCTTAGAGTCCAGTGTTTAATCAGAAACTCGTCGGTCCAGGTCCGGTCAAATCGTGAAGAACTTTTGATGTTTCTTCTGATTGGTCCGATTCTGGAAGCCTTCAGTGAGCTGAGCTCAGGTCCAGAAGAAGAAAGGATGTTGGATTCTGATCTTTGGAGCTGAGACCCACATGAGTTCATTTTCTACAACAAAATCATTTAAAAAACATGTTTAGAAACTGTAGCATCAAAAATCCCAAACTTTAGGTTTGCTTCGTTCTGCTGAGACATTTTATTTTCTGGAGAATCAAACTGAACAATTGTTGTGAATAAAAGCAAACTGGTGATAGTTTCATTTAGACAAACTGGTGTCCAGGCCTTCCAGTCAACACAACTGGTTTTCTGTGGACTTTGGAAAAGTTTTGTGTTTAATTGAGGAGAAGAAGAACTTGAAGATCTGGACAATGTGAGGCCAACACAACTTACTTGTTGTGAAACTAAAAACTGCACCAGGTCCATTTCCATAAAAACACATATTTGCCAACATTTTGTCAAAGATTGGTTTGGTTTGTGTGGGTTTTTCATGATCTAATCTTTCTCTTTGTTTTTTTTAACAAAAGACATATTTGACCACTTTTACAGGATGAGTTTTAACAGACTTGGATTTCTTAGACTTTACTTTCTTTTTCCTGTAACTTTTTAAGTAAACAGTAGATCTAAGTTTTGAGGACAGAAAACAGCTTGAGGCAGAATCCTCCAACAATTAGAAGATTAAAGTGTTTTTTAAGAGTGCTGTGTAAATGAGTAGCTGACCTTCAATGTGCCAACAGCAACAGTGAGGCAAGTTTTCTAATGTTGGTTTTTCAGTGGAGGAAGGAGAAAATGAGTGTTTTAAACCTACCTGAGGTCATTCATCAGAGATGACACTCAGCTGGAGGAGAAGACATGTTAATGTCTGTGTATTTTCATGTGCTAACAAACTTTAAAGTACTTTGTAAAAACTAACTGTGCATTAGTACTCCTCAGTCAAACATTTAAATTACACCTTATCTCATGACTAGCTTTGAGTAAATGACCATGTCAGATTTTTATCTACTTTGATAATGAAACACTTGCAACATTTTTTAAATTAAAAGATTTTCTTTCAGGTTGTGTGCTGTTGAGTTAGTTTCATGATAAATAGTATTAACAAAAACAAAAATGAGAGAAATAAGTTATATTTTAATTACAAAAAATGCCTTTAAAACAAAAATACGCTTTTAAAAATAAATGCAAACTGCTACATAATATCAGTCAGTGAGAGTGAACTGGTTTGTGTCTCTGAATGTTGCCAGTAAAATGTTTAAATATGTTCCAGACTTCCCACAGTTTGGCTCAAGTGTAGAAGCTGAAGCTGAAGTTCTGGTGCTTCAGGGATAGGGGGCGCTCGTGAGCCCAGAGATCACTCTGAGCTGCAGAAGAAGTAAGTTATAGTTAGCAAGTCAAGTGCAGCAGAAATGCATTTATAGACCATTAAATAGTGACTGGTACGAGCAGAGCAGAGCTCTTCAGGGTCTCAGGTCAGTTGCTGTGGAAATGCCATTGGAATTGTGCAAATTTAACAAGCTCAAAAAGCAGATTTATAGCTGTGATATTTATGAAAAAGCTCGTGAAGGAAAGTTTAACACAGACCATTTCAGAGCAAATATACCTGTTCTGTGAAATGGTGTAAATTTATTGATTGAATTTGTGCAATTTCATTGGTGTTTTTTTTATCTACAGTATTTCCTGACAAACATGTGAGCTTGGCCCACTTTGCACATTTGTAACAATTTTTAACYACAAAATGGTTTATTGTTTTCCCTTAACCCTAACCAAATTCTTAGAATAGAGGATTACATATATTTAAGCTGAAATGATTTTCAACAGGGAACTTTCAGTGGAAACAACAGGTATTAATATAAACAAGAGTCACACCACAACTCAGACAAAAGCTCTCGTCAAACAAAAAGAGTGGCTGGGACGTCCTCAGACACACAACCTTTTTTCAACTTGTGACAGTATGTGGACTCTGAAGGGATTTATGTGAGCGATGCGTGAACATCATTTATTGGTAAATATAGGACATAACTTTGTTTTAATGAAATGTGCATCAATTGAGCTACAGTTTGTGACAAGAGAAATCAAACATAACCAATGAAATGGTGAATAAGTTTGTTTTGTTGGGTTTTTATATTTGTGAACCTGATTCTGAGCGAGTGCTTCACCAGTCATGAACCCCAGCGCTCAACACTGCACTCGACACTGCGCTCAACACTGCACTCGACACTGCGCTCAACACTGCGCTCGACACTGCGCTCAACACTGCGCTCCACACTGCGCTCGACACTGCGCTCGACACTGCGCTCAACACTGCACTCGACACTGCGCTCGACACTGCGCTCGACACTGCGCTCGACACTGCGCTCGACACTGCACTCGACACTGCACTCAACACTGCGCTCGACACTGCACTCAACACTGCACTCGACACTGCGCTCAGCACTGCACTCGACACTGCACTCGACACTGCACTCGACACTGCACTCGACACTGCGCTCAGCACTGCACTCAACACTGCGCTCGACACTGCACTCAACACTGCACTCGACACTGCGCTCAGCACTGCGCTCGACACTGCACTCGACACTGCACTCGACACTGCACTCGACACTGCGCTCAGCACTGCGCTCGACACTGCACTCGACACTGCACTCGACACTGCACTCGACACTGCGCTCAGCACTGCGCTCGACACTGCGCTCGACACTGCACTCGACACTGCGCTCGACACTGCGCTCGACACTGCACTCGACACTGCGCTCGACACTGCACTCAACACTGCGCTCGACACTGCGCTCGACACTGCGCTCGACACTGCACTCGACACTGCACTCG